CTGTTGGCAGCTCAGCAGCAGCTCAGCTCAGGCCGGGAATCAAACCGGCGACCCTGTTGCTCAGAGTTCACACTCTTGAGCGAGCTCTTAATCAACTGAGCCACTCAGCCGGCCCGCTAGCAGTCTTTGTTTCAATATTATTATAGGCAGATTTAGAGACAGTGTCAAATATTCCATGCAGAGAGTATTTTAGAATTGGTAGAAATTGCTTTTGATAACAAAATCAAGCCCATTAACATAAAATCTTAGAATACTGGTTGTAAATGACCATTGTTTTTTGAAGAATGTACTCCTCAGACTGTATTTTCTCTGTTGAAGAGTCTGGGGCTGGCAGCTGGCAGTTTAACAGAACGAATAGGTGTACTGTGTTTTGCCTTCATTCATTAGATTTTGTATCAATAAACAGGAGTTTGAACCTGGTTATTGGAATGAAAACTTTCTGTAGCAATTAAAAAAGTTGGACTCATGAGCTAAGGTGACCAGCAACTTGAAGAAGAGAATTCCAGTTAGAAATTACATTTGTCATTTGAAATAACCACAGAAAAATGAAGATAATGCTTGGGGGGGATGCTGGGAGGGGGGTGGGGGGGGAATCAGTACAAATGCAAATGAGTAATGATAATCTAACTGCAGGTTCATTTTCAAAACTTACCTTTAGCACAGACATCATAATAAAATAGGGAAGCAGAGTGAGTTGGCCGTTAAAGGAGCAGCTCAGGCTGCTGGTGAGAGGCTGTGGGCGTGAGTGTGCCCTGCAGAAGCAGAGGTGACCTCTCTGTCGGCTACACCCGACAGTCTGATTTGTTCATTATGTTAGTATGATTTCCTTACATTGTTATGCTTGTTAAACGTAAGCAAAGCAGAAAAGTAACGGAGAAAACATTTTTCAAGTTGTGGGGGAATAAAACCCAAAATCTCAGGATTCAATACTCATGTTTATTCTGTTTCTTTGTTTTTGTTTTTGTTTTCCCTCCCCTTCGTGGAGCTTTCGGGTTCTCCTAAGGATAAAAGAAGAGCAGATGTGTTTAGGTAGTGCTTTAAGGGGTTAGGGCCAATTGTGGTGGGGTTGTTTTTTTTCCCCAAAAGACTGTGAATGGACAAATAATATCAAGTGAGATTATTGAACACTTTCTAGGCTATTTTAGAACATTTTATGCATTTAGCTTAATCTAAAGCTTTAAATTAGCTTTTGTTTAATGTAGTTTCTTGACTACATTAAATATGTGTAGTTACATGTTTCAGATGCATACAGAGAGATCAGCAAGAAGAAAGGCCCATGGCAGGAGCATGACTGGAGCAGAGAGTAGACAGAGGTGGTCCGAGAGGAATGGGCCCCAGGTGTGCATGGGCCGAGCAGGCCTTGTGTTTTACTTTAACTGTGATGAGAGACCATTGGGATCTAAATAGAATGTGGGCACGATAAGACAGGCTCACTGTGACAGTGATGTTAGAGAATGGCCAGAGGCCAGCAAGGGAGGACACAAGGAATAATTAGGAGGCAGTTTCAATAATCGGGGCGAGAGGTGACGTTGCCTGGGACCAGGATGGTGGCAGTGATGGTGGTGAAAAATGGTCAGGCTCTAGATAAGCTTTGAAGGTAGAGCTAACAAGATTCTTACATGGGCCATGAAAGAGGAGTTTACTATGAATCTAAATTTTTGTCCAGAGTAAGTGGAAGGAAGTCGTCCACTGAGGTGGGGAGGGGTCTAGAGGTGGGAGGGAGGCCGCAGAGCATCCCGATTCCCATCGGGACGTGAAGCTTGAGTTTCCTGTAGATACCCAAGTAGGTTTAGATTCATACCCAACTCCTGCCTTTCATGCAATTTGTCAGAATTGTTTAATCTGGAAATAATCCGTGTGATTTCTATATATGTTGTATTTTCTTAATGTGGTTAAGTTATTACTATGCACTCATGTTCTATTAATGGGAAATACTTCGATTGGATTCTCATCTCGAGGAGGAGTTGCTTCAGAGCTGGTGTGCGCTATTACGTAAGAGGTGAGATTGATTTTGTCAGCGAGATTTGGTACTGGGTTGTACGTATCACTAATGAACATTTTGTTTTACAGTGCCACGACTGTAACCTTTTGTACTCTATTTGTTTTTATTATCATTTTATAGCTTCACTAAATATCTCCTGCTTCATTATAATTATTAGGTAGGTCTTCCGTGCTTTACTCCAGCTACTGGAGTTACTTTGTAAAAGTTAAGACACACTATAGACTGCTGCTTACTGCTTTCAGAGGCACTGACCATGTTATGCACTGGATGTCTGAAAGCACAGTTGAATTCAGTGTAGTTTTCAGTAACCTAAACTCATATCAGAAGGTACTTTTTTTTGTTGTTCTTGGTTTCTTTGCATGCATAAAGCTAGACATTTGACTTTATGCCTTCAGTTTTAGATTTACATTTTGAGCATGTATTCTCTAAGAGGCTTTGTACTAGCAAATGCCAGTTTGCTTAAAACAAGCTTTTACAATCTATATTAAAAGTTACTGTCATTATGAAAATGACTTTCTTTTTTATGAGACTCTCAGAATAAAATCCTGTGTTCCATTAGATAAATGGTAGATATTTGGGGCCAGGAAGTTATAAAGTTATAATGGTTAACCTCCCTTATTTCAGGTGATATAGCAGAGGAAGAAAGGCCTTTAGTGAGCTGGCCAAGATCACAGAAGCAGAGTTAGAGTTAGCAGCTCCCTTGTAACCTGATTTTCTTGGATGGAGACATTTTTAGTTAAGGTTTTTGAATAGGTGACGCATTGAAACACTTCAGGTATTGAAAAGTATAAAAAGATAAGCAATCAAAAATATTTTTATTTCTGACCCCATCTGCTGCATCTTGTCCCCCACCTACCTCCCCCCCAATCAGCTAATCAGTTGTTAGTTTCTATTTATCCTTCCAGATAATTTTTATTCGATTACAGGTATGTTTTCTTTTCCTCCTTTTGTAGACAATGGTTGTATACTGTGTGCATTTTCTTGCACCTTGGTTGTATTTTATTTTTAAACTTAATATGTCATGGAGATCTTTTCATAAATATCTCTCTTTCACGCGCGCGCACACACACACACACACACACACACACTCACAAACACACACTCTCAATCTTTCACTCCCTCTCTCACTTTTTAAAATAACTATAGTATAGCCCATGCTTCTGACAAGTAATTTTAGGGGATACTGAAAAGGCATGTCATGCTGATTTGACTCAGTAATTTTATCCCTTCTGCCAAGATAGCAACAAAAAAACCTTGATACCCAACACTTCAAAATGTTATCTTTGAGAAATATGTCAGAAAGAATGTTAAGAAATATTCAAAACAGTTTAAAATCTATTGATTTCTTCCTGATAATTTGGTAATTTGAGTCAGGGACTAGCTTGAAAGTTGCCTTTGCTCAGCAAGCTTTTCTTAGTAAAATAGGTCATGTAAACAAGGCTGTAAAGGAATGCTTCAAATATTTGAAAAGACTAACCAGCATTAAGAATCAACACTATAGCAGTGCTTTTCAAACTAGGCTTTGTGGGTATATTCATGGAGCTATAGGAATTCTAGGATCATATACAATTTTTGTGCTTTCATTTGGATAATTAAGATCATTATAAGCACCTGCTGGACCATTTTCATTATTATAACAAAATAGTATCAGCATAGTGGCCCACATTTGCATTAAATATTGTGTTTAATAGCTTTAACTTTTAAAATAGTATTTTTTTTCTAACTGGGATTTATGGACATAGTCTCAGGGGTCCTTGAGAATTTGTTTTTTCTTTGAAACATATCTCAAGTTTGAGAAACACTGTTTCAGAGGAATTACAGAATTGTGTATGTGTAAACAATTGATATATTAAATAGCAACCAACTTCATCTGTTCATTAACAGGTGAATATTAATATTGATATTCCCCTTTAAGCCTGTTTAAAATGTGTGAGCTCCTATTAGCTTTCTGATCATGTATTATGCATTTGTTTAAAATTTATTTTTATAAGTACTTTTCCACTAATTTGAACTGACTTAATGCTCTCCAAGTTAAACTGAATTAGTGAGTTTCTGATGTATTTATGTCCTAAATGTAGTTAATTTTAACTGTTTTCAATTTAGGAATTGATTCTGAAGGCCATGCAGCTAACTTTGTAGAAACAGAACAAATCGTGCACTACAACGGGAGCCGCGCTTCGTTTGTGCAGGCAAGTGAATGTGTCTGTTAGGCAGCCAGCCAGCTGGCTGTTTCTGCTTGGATCGTCACTGTCTATCGTGTTACTGAAATTTCCTTCCCTGCCCCTGCTTTTTAAAGGAATATCATTGTCTACAGTGTGGAAAAATTTCACCCCAAACAGATTTTCCATTAATCCAGCACTCACTTGTTGACATTTCTTGCCCTTGAATTAAGTCCCTAACAGAGAGTACGGGGGTAGGGGGTACAGAGGTGAGGGAAGTGGAGCCACCTCTCAGCTAACCCTGTAGACTCCTTCAGGGCAGTGATGATAGGACAGGCCCCTGACTGCCTGCCTTGAACGTCATTGTGAGATAATCTCTCTTTCCTGTGGCCTCCTTATGGAGTCGCGGATCACTTGCTGCTCCGCAGCATTCGTGGCTGAACATATTTATAAGTTCATAAACAGACTCATTGAAGAGTGAGTAAATCAATTTTCCAGTTTTATTGTAATGCTGAACTATAAGACAGACATAAGTTGTTAACTTTTACTCAAAGATAAATTGATTTATTTTAGAATTCAGGGGAAACGCTGAACTGTGTACTACACTAGTGCCATGTATATAAAATCAGGAGAAAAAGCCCTTTCCAAATGTATTCCAACAAAATATGAATTTTAGGAGCAGGTACACATGTACATGGACTTCTTTCATAGGTTGTATTTATAGTTTTTCCTTTGTAGTCATTGATATGTATATTCCCCTGATGGTAAGTAAGCTGAGAAAAACAAGTTTGTGTGTGTGTGTATATGTTTCTTTTCACATGTCTTTCTTTTCTTTTAGACTAGAGGATCAATACCAGTTTTCTGGTCTCAAAGACCAAACCTCAAGTACAAACCACGGCCACAGATCAACAAAGTAGCAAATCATGTGTGTATCTTTTATGCTTTTCTTATTGGCTAAAAATAGAAGAGTAGTGGCGTTTATAGCTTATCTATAGAGCAGGTGTTTATTCCTCATGAGTCAGAATGCAGCATCTTTGAGGCCTTTCTCCTTGGTTCTGGCACATAAACTAAATGATTGTATAGATGGCATGTTAGAAATGAGGAAAAACGAGCTGTGATTGAATGGCATTGCAAATTTAGATTTTAGGGATCTCAGTAAGATTTGCAACTTTCTGATGTTTGGAGTATTTAGTATATTCCATTTGAGATTCTGCTGCGAGTTAAAATGGTAGTTTTGCAGCTCAGAGTAGAATGACTTATAATTACTATTTGCTGCATAGTATTTAGAATATCTATAATAGAAGACGTGAGTCTCATCCTAATGTCATTCTCTTGAATAGAGACATAGGACATTTAAGGAGATACTTTTAAAATGATCTTACAAATATTCTTATAACATAATCTGGTAAAGTATGTAACTCTTTTTTTCCTTTCTAGATGGATGGTTTCCAGAGGCATTTTGACTCCCAAGTAATTATTTATGGAAAACAAGTCATACTCAATCTGGTATGTTTCTTGTTTTTTAGAGAACAACACAAAAAAGTTGACTTTTTATTCATAACATAAAATTTGCCATTTTAACCATTTTTAAGTGTACAATTTAATGGCATTAAGTATTTCACAGTGTTGTACATCATCACTACTGACCATTTCCAGAACTTT